ATTTTTCCCCAGTTTCTTGCACTTTCTGGCACTTTGCATTTCTTGGGTTTCTTTCTTACTATGCATTGCCAGAAGTAGTCATTAAAGTGTTTTTGCGGGTATTTTGACCTGCAAGAAATGCAAAGCGCAAGAAACTACGCACCGCCGAAAAACTTCATACGGCGCGTGGCTGAATGGCGCATATTTTGCGAACTTTCTCCCAGTTTCTTGCACCTCACATTTCTCGCGTTTCTCGCTTTGCAGTCCAAATAAATGTAGCAAACCCGCCATCAACGAAACACTGCGTACCTCACCCAATACGAAAAAGTCAGAAGCGATCGACCAAAGTCAAACTTGCGGAATCTAAAGTTGAAGTGAAGTTGGACCTTATGCTGGCTGGTTTGGCCATGTGGTGGTCACTTCTTGTATATTTTCCCTTACAACAGAACCCTCTCCGTACAGATCAGAGTACTCCATCTTTCCCTCCTTTCGGAACGGACAGCCCTTTTAATTTAATGTGAACTTACGATGGCTCCCTTCGCACTGGCAGAGTTTCCTCCAAACCCGAGAGCAAAATTTGAGGCTAAGTGTCACATCTGACGGACCAGACCAACGCTGCTCTCTCTCTCTCTCTCTCGCTGACCATATTGAGAAAATAAAGTTTAGCCATTTTAAATCCATTTCGAAGACCAAGAGAGAAAGTTTTCTTGGAACAAAGCGAACCATTTTATCCGTTCGTACATAGTTCTGAGAGAGAGAAAGCGATATTGTCGCCCATCCATGTTACGACCCTCGATTTTTTGCACTATTCTAACAAAATTCAATTTTAGTTTCAACTTTATTTCGAAAAATGGCAAAAATCCGGCACACCTGGACTCAAGAAATTGCGAAAATATCTGTAATTGTGCTCTAACTTATGTCAATTTAGTCTCTTTTGTTATGCCAAGAAGGCCCCAAATTTTATTATTATTTTCCGCTGATGTGTTATCTTTTGAGTGTCCCTACTTCTTCTCCATCTTTACGACGGGATCATGGTGTGATCGAAAAGCTAGTAAAACACGTACTCTCCCCACCAAAAAACATAAACTGGCCATAAACAAGAGAAACAAAATCGGTGTGATGTGATGTGCCTCGTGCTGTACGGACGGACATATCCTTCGAGCAGACATAGACAAAGGGGAAAACTTGCAAGTTCAGTCACATCGACCAACATCACATACTTGAGTCAACAATAAAACAGCTTGATCTAAATCAAACAAACATAAAACGATGGCAAACATCCTCTCAATCCTTCAAAGGAAGGAGAAAGACAAGACAAGACAGAAAACAGAACCGAGTTTAGGAACGAATTTTACTTTCACTTTTACAGTGAAAGTGACCCCGCGACCCGAATTTCTCGCCTTTTGACGTCGTCATCCATCAGTCAGTGAGCCACCAGTTCGATCTAGTAAATAAGTTGACATCCTGTTTCTCATCTTGCCCATCATGGATTTTCTAGGGTCGAAATCTGCTCATAGTTTATATAAAAAAAACTTTGGTGACCAAGGGATAAAAAGTCAGTAGGGATTTAAAAACATCGGTTTATAGATAATGCAGCACCAGACCAGCCACGTTTCGCAGATAGCATTTTGTTATGTGCATGGACGGATAAAAAAACTTGTATTCTATGGGCAGTGTATTTTTAGATGAATCGTAGACATGGATAAAAGTGATATTATTTTTTAAACTTTGATTGGCTACGATTCCAACATGTGACAAAGGAGTAAAAGTAAGAGAGAAAGTAAAGAATTGGGTTGTCGGGGACAGGCAGTGTTCGGAAAACCTCAGGGTGTTTTGTATAAAAACTTAATTTTTTCCAGGGTTTTGGGGCGTGTTGAAACAAACTTCTTTAAATTTATTAGAGTGCAATTAATTTAATATTCGACTTAAACATGAAATTTGAAGCATTTTCGTATTTGAATTGTACTCATTATTTGCATGTAAACCCAATAGGAAACTGGGGTTTACATGACACTTGGAAATTCAAGTCGCACACATAAATGCTTAAACTTGCATGCTAATAAATCCGAAAATTTAACTAGTATTGATCGAAATGCAAAGACGTTTATTTCAACCAGCCCAAAGATTTTACTAAAACCCTTCAAGAACCCACAAACAAGCATTCCAAATCCACAAAAATGTGCAAAAACCCAATTAAAGTATTGCAGTTTTTCTTAGATATGACACAAAAATAGTACGGACGCAGAGTACGTACGTACCCTGCGTCCAGGTAGTACATCCTTGCACGAAACTTGTCAACCAACCTGACAACGCGAAAAGAAAGCAAACTTGGTGCCCTGCTCTTGCTCATTCAACAATAATTCAGCCAGAGATACATATAAACCACATTGCATTGTTGAAAAGAAAGCAAAACTTTTGTGGTTTCGCAAGAATGGTGTCTTTCCAGCAACTTTTTTTTGCGTATCAGTTCATCCGGATTTTTCCAGGAATTTTTCCAATTTCTACCTTTTGTCAGGTTGGGGTAGAAAAAAGTCGGTGAAAAGAGAGGAGAAACTGTTGATTTTCTGAAGAAAGTAGTCAACTAAAGGTTGAACCACTTTGGGACTTGTCGGCTGGGAGTTTGACTTTGATAATATGTCAACTTTGAGAAAGAGAGATAGAATCATGAGAGAAAAATAAATTGGAGTGGTTGTGCTGGTATTTTTATTGATCTCTATTTATAGATGACCAACAAGACATACATACTTTTCTTCAATACGATGACTCCATTTGTTGTCCAATAGTGTAATTATTATTTGGGTTCTTTATCTTCATTTGGGAGTATTCAGTGTATATTGGGATGAGAAGTAATGCAATTTAGGAGAAATTTGACCCACGTGGATTCAAATTAAAAATCAGTAAGTATTGTGGAAAATGTTAAAACTTTGAGAATGAGAAATGCGCACTCCGACCAAGTGATGCTACACAGTTAAAAATGTTGTAGAGTCAGATATATATTTGGTAATAACTTCCTACCCGATTGGTAGTAGTTTTTTCCGGAAGTTAGTGGGAAATTTTTCAGAATCACAACATTACTAAACGGCAATGCCCGTTATTACAAGTGCCGGCCGGTATAGAGTCATATATGTTCTCCAGCTATTAATTATATATATAATACCAGTTTTCTTTGGGTGTAGTCCTTTCATTATTGTCAATTCAATTTACCATCAACTTTAAAACAATCAACACTTGTCACCTACCTTTTGTTTGATTGACTCTACTAATTGTATTTCTGGTTCTCGTCTCTTTAATTGCTAACTCACAGCGAAGCCTGGTTCACAACTTGTGTCACTTCCATACATCCATGGGTGAATATTGTCTTTATGAATTTAGCCTGAAAATGAAATTACTTAGTATTCATATAATTAGAATTAGCCTGATTTCTCACCTCCCACCAACTATGTATTCCCAGACGACTGATTGGCATCGTAGTTTAAGCATGAGGACAAATTCAGCGACACAAGGCCCTGGATCAAAGTTAAGTATCAAAGAAGGATCGCTATTTGAGTATCTAAATTAAGCTTGACAAGTAGAAAATCTTTCCCGATAATGCATAAATATGGATGCAGTGTGACCAGCACAATTCAAATTTAAAATCAAATAGTGGTACCAATACGATTATTATTGATTAAAACTAAACTTAAATTGGAAGAATCCATAATTTTTGGGAACTAATTTGAGAATTTAGATTTTGAATGGATTAAGTACACTCCTTCCATAAATGGTAATCATTTTAAATTGCCCGACAATTGTAAACCTGCATCTGCACTACTTCTCCCGGATTAGATACACGTGTCAAATCTACGCGAAAATTATTCAACCATAGAAGAAACACGTCTTTAAAAGTTTAGAGTTCAAAAGTGAAGAAGAAGACGAAGAAGAAGGTGAGTGAAAGTGATGAATTTCAAATTGAACTTGACACATGAAAGATCACTGAACCAGCAGAATCGTTAGAATCCTTCGTCTTCTTTTCCCTCCTAAACTGACTTGCCATACCATCCAACCCAACGTACGTCGTTCACAAAATACAAAATAAATTGTGAGTTTTCCTAGAGAAAGTCACAGCCCAGACTTTCTACACTTTAGTCAAATTGACTTTCACGCCGAGTCTTACAGACAGTCTCCCCCATTCGAAAAGGCTTTCAATTAGGCAGACTTTTTTTGTCTTTTTTTTCATGGAAGTGAAAAATAACTTGGGTTTTTTTTATGTACGTTGCGCAATTAGGTATTCCTACCCGTTGGTTTCCCATCGGATACATAAAGCTGATCTTCTCTCTCATTGTAGTAATTTCACAACAATGTTCATGGTTTACTGTCACCCTCATGATGAGAGGATTTACGAGATTTATGGTCAAAATGTGAAATCGTTTGTTCCACTGATGTTACTTAAGATGTTGAGGAAACGAGGAAACTTGCTAAACTCACAGATTGTTGTTTTATTGCATTCTTCTCTTCTCATAAGTTGTTGTTTTGGCAAAGTATGCATGAAACTAAATATGCAAAGGCATAAAACATTGGCATTGTTTCGTAATAATAATGATGAATTTACTTTCACGCATTCTTTCCTTTTAAATATGAATGAAAGCCAAACTTGTTACCGAAAGTGTTAATAAACTTGTACCACATGCACACATTTTATTAAGCGACAGCCTCAACTGCTGTCCTTTATTCATCAAATCCACCAAGATCATCATGGGTAAAAGGAAGGAAATTTCATTATAATTACTGACTCCATGCAAAAATTTGCAAAGTCCGTATAAAGTTACCTTAATTAGGTGTTACACTGTATAAAAGGGCTTTTCTTATTATGTAAGTACACAAAGCTTATAATAGTGCATTAAGAAAGTTTAAGGTTAACATTGTTTTTACAAGATTTATTTAAGATTGCGTCGGCATAAAGTAGGTAGTGTAAATTTGAGGATTGATATCGTGATTAATTTCCACCTATAGTTATACTATTTAAGTACATATATTTATGTATATTACAATAATTTAGTTATTTATTTACCAACTTAACATTTATTTGGGATTGGTACAGATTTTTTTCTCTTCTCTTGGATCAATATTAAATATCACAAAAAACTGTGTGTGTACGACTGGTTGTATTGCTCGGACTAGTAATAAAAAAAACCCATTTAAATCAAAATTTACATACACATTTAGGTCACCAGGTAGTTAAAAACATGGCAAGAAAAACTTGCATTTTTACTGATTGTCAAATTTTGCACAAAAATGAAACAAACAACCCAACAAAGTCTGCCTCCTTATCAAAACACTCAACCAACTTAATGCGCAACATCCTCTTAAAGAATTATTACGTAACTGGGGCACACTCACTTAAGTAGTCGACAAAGAACGGAGGAGAAGCTATTAAGTACATAAGAAGCAGAATTAGATTTTGATCAAGTCGACAAGGACGTAATAAAGTGAACAAGTTGACTAACCAACTATCCACGTACGTACCATACGTATATATTACCAACAAGCTACACAATCTACTCCATAACATTTAGTTTGGTTTGGTTTGGATGGGATGAAAGGTGGATGAGATGAGATGAGTGTACGTACGTATCAAGCCGACTGACTTTCTCCCACTTCTTCTTCTTCTTCTGCCCCACTATATCGAAGTACTTCTTGATTCCCTAACGAGTAAGTACCGACTTTCTTCTGACGCAGTGGAGGAGGAGGAGGAGAGTGAGACTATGTATGAACTAAGAACTTTGTGAGAGATAAGGCACACCTTGTAAGATAAGATCACATCGGTATCACTTGGCACTTGTTAAACTTGCTTTATTATTATTATACACGTATATGCAGAAGAGAGAAAGTATTTAAGTAAGAGGACGAGTCTGCTCCTTAGTTGGTTATTTGGATTGGAATGACGGATTACAATTAAGTGGATATTTTTTTCGTCTGCTTGATCTTCTATCTGAGCAACTTCTTTTTTTTCTTTACGTATTTATATTTATATCGCATACACCATGACTGATGAATATTTCGGGTTTTGCATAATTTAGAAGGAAGAGAAAAAAAGTCTCTCGGATTTGAAACAAGTTTTAAAAGGAGAAACTTAGCTTAGCAGAGCGGAGGTAGGAAGAAGGGTGGGATGGATTAGTTAATCTGGTAAAGTTTCGAAATGAAAGAGTTCATTAATAACTAAAGTGTCGAGGTAGCTTAATTTCGAGAAAAAGTTTCCACACACACGTACATAGTCTTCTTTCTTCTTGTAAAACTAACGAACTACTACACTTTGGTCTATGTGTGTGTAAGGGGAGAGGAGGGGTGACTGACTGAACAAACAGTGACGACTCCAAAGTTTTCAACTTTTGAACGAATAATACAAAAAGTGAGGAAAATTCGTGTGTAATAAAATAATTTGGGTATGTATGTATAAAGATCCGTAAAATTAATAAGATCTCTTTCCAATAAGTTGCCTATTCAAATTCCCAACTCTTCTTTTCTTCTTCTTCGCGGACATTTGGAAGATGGATTGGTTTAGGTTTCAGACTTAGGTATAAGAACAATTAAGAGAGTTTTGGTCTGTTATGGGATCCACTTTTGGTGGGCGGTGCGGAGGATGGGTGCCGCAGTTTAGCTCAACTTTCTCTCAAGTCAGGTGGGGAAAGAAGAAGTTATCCACCAAGCGAGAAGATTACTTATAAACTCGTCGCAAAAACTATACCCTGAGCTCATCAGCATTCGGAGAGTAATTAAGAGTTTTCTTTAATGAAGGTTTTAACGTCTGTGAGGCAAAGCCTGGAGGAGGTGCTGGCCCAACTCCGACGCTCGTAGAGCCGGATCCAGAACCTGTCGGACTCTCCAAATTAGTTTCCGGTCCAAACTTGACGGTCGGCGTGGTTCTCTTGGGCGGCCTGGGTACAGTTCTAGATCCACTTTCATAACTCCCATTTCCGCCTCCGGAGCCTGAGGCGACACTAAAATGACCCTGGTTGGGTAACTGATCCTTCATCGTCAAACTCGATCTCCGCAGAGTTCCTCCACAAGTCCCACTTTTTACACTGCACTCGGGCGAGTCATCGAATTTCACGGACATCATGGACGCCGCCAAGACCGCGTCGGGCATCGGCATTTCGTACGAGGTTTGAGTAGCGTTCTGTTGCTGTTTCCGTTTCATTGTTCCTCCGCCACCTCCTCCTCCTCCCTGGGGATTGTGATACTGGGCTTGGTGGTGACCACTGTGACACTGACCGTACCCTCCGTCACTCGAGGAGTTGTCGAAGGGGGGGAGTTCCCCGCAAATGTTGGGCATTGGCATTTGCACGGTTTGTCCGCCGCTGCCGGGATGCGACGCCATTTGGATGGCTTGTCCATTCTCCTTCCTCCTCCCGCCACCCATACTGGTCACGTCCGCTTTGGTGTAGGTGACCCCGCCGTGGGTGTGGTGGTGGGGGGAGTGGTGGCTCATGGAGGACATGCTTTGACTGTTGGGGTCACGTGAGGGGGAATTGTCCATCTCTTCGGCGCGGCGTTTGTCTCGTTGGTAGTAGAAGGCGGCGAAGATTAAAATGTTTAAGATGAGGAGGGAGCATCCGATCGCGATGGTGACGGAGAGGGCGGTGGAGTACATTTGGAAGCCGTCAACGTCCACCTCCGGACCTAAGGAGAAGAGAAAGAGAGAGAAAGTTGGGTTAGAAATTGGGGAGAGTTCAAGGTGAAGATTAGTGTCATCTTATTCGTATAACCATCACTTTTACGTAACCGGTTTTAAAAGGTTATTCTAATTTTAGAATAGATTCTACAGTGGTGAGGAAATTGGAGAGACATTTTTCAAAAATTGTCGACCTGTGCGTGCATACTTTTATAGGATAGTCTGACGAAGAATAAACTGGCTAAAACGAACGTAAGAAAGAGCGTGATACAGTACCTACATTGTAAAATGACACCATATGAAAATTATGTGATTTAGGATGAACTTTGACCTCGTTGTCACATGTCGGAGGTTAAAATATTAATGGTATAGGGTTCGTGGTGAAACTTTCTTGAAAATTCAGCCCACAGACAGACAGACGGACGGACATAACGATCTTATAAAGCACTTTCACCCCTTAATAACGCTCCAATACGTTAGGGACACATATAGTCATACTGATATCGATGTATACCTCCTTTTCCACCTGAAGGATGCATGCATAATACGTAAATTCCACCACCTTAATTCAAACTGACACACATTTACTCTCTTGGCATGTTAAATTTCTTTATTATAACAACTGAGGCGAGATAACGAAATAACCGTTGGATCGTGAGATGTGTTCCGTCGTCCCAAACTTAACTCAAACTAGTCTCGCTTTCCCTTAATGCAAAATCCTCCTTCACGACATTACATTATATTCTCAACATTACGCTTTCTCCACAAGTAGCTCGAAATTTCTTCGCGTTATGAAAGATACACATTTCATTGCAGATGTGACCCTATGCCGGTACCTACGTACATACCACGTTACAGCAGTGGCCGCAGAAGTGGAGGAACAGAGGTACAATGTCCCCACGGTTATTTAATGTCCCCATCATCTGCCCATGTTATATAAGCCCTGCCCTCCCCTACCCTACAATGTTAGTGTCCCCAGATGTCCCCACGGCTTCCGTGGCCACTGACCACACTGCATACTTACCACCTGAAAATATCAGACATTTTGGACAAGCGCCTGAAAATCTAGTTCTCGGCCAAGTTATGTCCCGTGACACATGTCACAAGAGAAACGAAATTAGACGACAAGAAGAACCAGACATGGTTGGTACAGATATTTCATGCTATTTTACCACTACACACTGCACCTTCAATCTTTACATCTTACAATGGGGACACAAACCATGTTCAACCCAGATTATTTTTGTACTATGTTAGTTTGAACGAACACAATGGCAACACAACTCTTTAGAAACATTTAGCGCGCACTTGCGCAGATGCAAAAATTCAGCAAGTTTTGGGCGCCCCACGTTCGCGAAACGCCCAATTTCTACCGCAAGGCACAAATTTTACTGGAAAACCGAGCGTTTTCACCAACTTGTGGTGCCAAAAAACTTGACAACTTCATGTTGTTTCTAAAAAGTAAACTAACACAGTCAAAAAATAATCTGGGCTGAACACGGTTTGAGTCCCTTTTCTGAGTAGGAATGAAATGCTCAAGATAAATAAAGTCGTCGTCGCCGTCCCCGTCACACGGGGGAACTCACCTGGGTAAAAGTTTCCATGCTGTTGATTCGGATTATGTTCCCACATGGGTGGACCCGGCCCGACCAATTGGATTGTCGGGGGCGACGGAGTAGATGAATTATGAGTGGAGTCTTCAGGGGGCAAAATTACAAGACCCGAGTTCGGATGAGACGGGATATTCGCACTTGACGATGACGATGGTGGGAAGGGATTCGCATTCACGGTGTGATGACCGCTGGGGGCGCCGTACCTAGAACACAACCAACCAGTGAATCATTCATATACCCACAAAACTTGGGATAAGCGACCCTTACCCATTTTTTTGCAGGTCTGGCACGAGGTGTAACCAAAAGGATAATTTGTGCGCTCTGTAGTGCGTCCTCACTCTTGGCTTCATGTCTGCAAAGGAAAAGGAAACCATCCAATTTACAATTCATATTTCTCAGCAAAACAAATAAATTACTTTCACTTCTTTTATTTCAGCTTTTACCAGAGGAGGAAAAAAAGAGAGAAAGGGAAAAAAAGAGAAAGTTGACTAACAAGATCTTCTTATTCTACTCCTCCTAATGCCGTTCTAGTCTCGTATAGTCATTTATGGTCTCGTTATTGGTGGAAGGACAAAGGACAAGTGGGAAGAAGAAAGGAATTCAAGCCGATTACCTCTCCGTATCGTTAGTGGATGCATAAGTAAGTAGTCGTATTATTAGAATTTGACTGACTCACTGGCATAACAAGCAACAAGCCGTGGGCAACTCTGCATAGTTAAGATTTCGTAATAACCACGCCGTTAAGCATGTTTCGACAGGTAAAAGACTTATGTATTTCTCCGCCCACTCGAAATTCTGCTGGGATGATGATCAACAAAGTCAAAACCAACAAAACAACTCATCCTAATCAATAGGAATTCGAAACTTCAATCGGTCTTAAATTAAATCATTCGCTATAAGCAAATGTAAATTAGTGGGTATTTAGAGAGTGGGTGGCTCGTTTCGTTCACATTTTGCGGCTTGGGTGAATGGGTGATTGCGATGCTTTTAATTAACAAGACACACATTTTCCCTTGATGTTCTTTCCCTCTTATGAACATACGTATTGAGCAAATACGAAGGGCAGAAATTTTTGGGAAACTCTATGCACATCGAGAGTTGAATTTCGATAGATTTCAGGCAGATGAATGAAATTTGGTTGGATTTGTACCGTCTGGAAAAACAGTGATGTACAAAGTATGCTTGGTTATCTGTCGAATTTGTGGGAAAATTTGTCCAAAATCTTTTTCTACGCTCGGCTGTTGTTTCAAATATGCAAAATTTTCACTAATAAAAAACTAACTTGTATAAATACCTTCCACCATAAAATGAATGCATAAATGCACCTTGAAATTTTGGAAAGATCTATATCGACTTGAATTTTGATGGATTTCAGGCAAATTGATTGAATGAAATTTGGATCAATTTGGACAGTCTTGGAAAAAGTGACTTACGAAGTATATTCTGTTATCTGTAGAGTTTGTGGCAAAGTTTAAAAAAAAACTTTCTCCACACTCGGCTGCTGTTTCAAATTTGTAAAATCTTGACTAATAAAAAATTTACCCCATAAAATGAATGCAAGAATGAACCTTGAAATTTTGGAAAATATCGACTTGAATTTGGATAGATTTCAGGTAACAGAATGAAATTTGGGTCAATCTGTACAGTCTGGAAAACAGTGACGTTAATAAATATGTTAAAGTTATGTCTCGAATTTATAGCAAAGTTTGAAAAACTTTTCCTCATGCTGTTTTGACTAAAATCTTCCTTCTCTAATAAAAAATTAGATTAGCGTTCAAATTGTCCCCATAAAATAAATGCATGAATGCACCTTTCCCCAGAAAAGGTATGTAAAACTACTGTAGGGTACATAGTTAAACTCGTAAATAGTTCGTTAGTCGCTAAATGTATCAAATGAGATTAAATCAGACAAAACTCTGAAATCCAAATTCTAGTCTCTCCCTCTTTCTCTCTTTCACAATCAAACTCGTCCCGGATACAATTACAAGTCCAATCCGAGTCATAATAAAATCAGGGCTAGTACGTTGGAACTGCATCGCATTTGTTTATCCGGCAGGAAAATACACGGAATTGATTTCGCAATCGGGTCTGTTCAGTTTGTTTTAAGGACGCATTGCAATCTGATGGATACGGTAGTATTAAGCAAATAAGCAGACATGTACGTTTCGCCTACTGCTGAGTTGCATGCAGTGTTTCGTTTTGGACGTCCAAAACCACTTTTGGGCTGGATATCGTTCAAAATTTCCAGAATCATCCAGCATTGGAAAATGGGGCGATTTGTGTTACAAGTTCTCTATTAATGATTTTTTTCCAAATCTAAAGATGCACAGATATGTATGTAATCTCCTATTAATTTGAAACACTTTGGCGTGTATGTAATACTGCGAAATTCGGAAAAACTTTTGTTTTTCTTACGCGTTTTCTTACGAGAAATTAAGAAATTTTCTAAACCCACAGAATTACAGACCAAAATGCTCAAAGTTAAAGGGGATTGCACATATGTATATGTATGTCAACGGTAGGGAATTCAAAACCGGGCCCTTTTCTGAAAACCGGTTTTCGGTTTTTCCGGTTTTGCACCCACCAAAACCGGCGAAAAACCGGTTTTTCACCGTTTTTCCAAAATAATATTTTGTGCACGAGAAAGGTAGAAAAATTGAGTATGTGGGTATCGTAGGTTTAAAAGCCCTAACCTTAAAAACAATGGCCTAACAAAAAGATTCACGAAAAATGTTAAAATAATTCAAAAATACATCTTCTTTAATTGTTTGAGGAAATACATATATATACCCTAAATTGAAGATGCTAATTAATTGTGAATATGTTACCGAAGCCTTGTTTTATTCTAAAAAGTATACGGAAGCATAATCTACTTCGATCTGAAAATACTACATTCGTAGGAAATGAGATAAAAATATAGATTAGTGTGTCATTTTTCAGATTTTAACCCATTTGCAAGGTTGCGCACTTTTGGCGAATGGCTACACAAAAAACCTTAGATTTGCACTAGATTACGACCGGAGAAATTTTTATATATTCATGGACAAGATAAACATTTTCTTAAATGCACAAGTCGGACCGCACATACATATATATACATACATATGTATGACTTTTCAAAATACGCATTCATACAATTTTCAACCAAAACTTAAAGCTACAACTTCCCAAATTTTGGCATGGGCATACTTACCTACGTTCGAAGTTTATTTGAAAATATAATTTATGCAAATGGAAATTCGAGGTTTCGGTTATTAATTTATGAAGGAAATACGGAATCGCTAAGGGGTTAAAAAATGGTTATCGCAGTTGGATACGAACAAAAGACCCCCCGCTAATAATTTATGCAGTTTTTCAAATTCATTGCTTTTCATTTTGGTGATTCTTTTTGCAACTTTTTAAATTGTGTAAAATCCAAAGAACCAGCAAAATTATATTAAAAATTATCAAATAGTTTTTCAAAATAATTACGGGCCTTATTTTTAAGCAAGAATGTTATCAATTTTGTTTAAATAGCGTCAAAATCCGAAAAATAATAGCGTTTAAAAATTTAAAATTTTGACGAAAAACCGGTTTTTAGAATTTGTAAAACCGGTTTTCGGTGAAACCGAAAACCGGTTTTTCTCCGGTTTTTCCGGTTTTTCTCCGGTTTTTCCGGTTTTGAAAAACCGGTTTTGAATCCCCTAGTCAACGGATTATTGAAAGATTCAATTGCTTGTAACATTTCGCCCCATTTTCAATTTTGAACACTTTTGGACATTTTAGACGTCCAAAATTCTGTGTCCAACACTGGTTAAAACCGGTTTTGGATAGTGGTTAAAATCGCACAGTGAAACCCTGAATTCCATGTAGCTCATGGAGTATCTATGTCTTACATACGGGAATTACGTAGTCTATGTCGACTAGTCAAAGTTACGCTAGCTTTTAAACTCAAACCGGGTAGGAAAGGGCATAAATAAGTTGAGGTCCCTCCCTATGCATTCGCTTCAAAGTGATTTCATGATGACGACCATGATAACAGAGTCAGCTTACCGATTGTTAAATACTTTTTGTACAACGGATCGTACTGCGGCCATTCCACGATTCGGGACTTTGAAGACTTCTCGTTACTATTTCCGGTACGACCGCTGCCACTTCCACCGTTCGGGAGAAGACTTTCACCCTCAAGTTTGTCGTCATTCGGGTTTCTGCAATTTCATTGAGCAAATCGAATTGTTTAAAATAAAACACACATTAATCTGGATAAAATCCAATTGCAGTAAACACATTATTCAGTGGCCGCGGAAGCGTCGGGACAATGTCCCCATCATCTGTCCACGTTATGCAAACCCCTCCCTCCCTCCCCCATCCTACAATGTTAACGTCCCCACAGCGTCCGCGGCCACTGAACACATCGCTGTGATAATCCATTCCGTAAACACGTCACTACAAAATCCCGGCTTTACATTCACACATAACACAGCTTTCCAAGCCAACTTTTATAATTCTTATCAGCACCAGCACGCAATTAACTGCGGAATTACACATAGAAACATATCCTCTCTGAGAAGAAGTTAATTTCCAAGGATTACCATCATTCGCAAAGATTACCATATGAAATCTCTAGCAAAAGTGGATCCAGCTTATTTCGCAGAGAGGAAGGAACGAAATACGTGACACGGTTTCTCAAGTGGTAAATACCTACATAATACTTTTCGTTATGACATGAGAGAATATGCGTATCACATTATGCTGAGTGGGTCGTAGGTGGCATTAAAAATCAGCACTTTAGCGATTTTAATAACATCTGAGTGTGTGTAGATATATATTATTTTTGCTTACCCAGAGCGAATGAAATTGGCCCAGTAGCCGATAACAGTTTGCGACAGCTGCACTTCATTGCGAGAATAGTTTCCAGTAAAAAACCCCAATTTTGGAAATTCATCTTCAGACTCAGCCCCACCACCACTTCCTCCTTTCCCATGCTGCCCAAACTCATTTCCGGAAAAATACAAAGGCACTCCAAAAATGTACAGGAGATCCTATTTACAAACACATGGTCATATATGTGACCCATAAAGTATGTGCGTGAAGCGTAGCTTGATAAGCAGAGGGCGGATATGTAGTTAAGGAAAAATGGGTGAAATATGTATTTAATTTTTAGGAAAAAGAACGCAAAGATATTTACGAAAATACGCCAAAATATTTACAAAATATGTACAAAAAACAAATAAAAATGTATGCGTTTAATATTTATTAGGAAACAACGCCAAAATATTTTCGAAGTACGTATGTACAAAAAAAACTATAAAAATATAAAATTTTCGTAAAATTTGTATCTCTGTATTTGTTGTGTTCGAATTTTTTTTATTAAAAATCGTATAGTTGAAATATTTACAAAATATTCGCATTTTTAAAAATACCCAAAATGTTGAAGTATTTTCAAATAATAGCGGAAATATTTACAAATAATATGTCTGAAAACCTAGAAATATTTAACAAAATGTGGAAATTTTTTGATTTTTTTCTGCTCTATGCGAGTTATTTAACACACCCACAAAGTCTGACCATCGGCCGTGATCAAATGAAAAAGCCGAAAATAAATAAATAACCGCCCTCTGCTCAAGATAAAAAAGTATGAAACGCTTTCTCCTCTCTTACCTCCCCTTGTACACATCCGAGCCGCTGCAAACACAAAAATTAATTATAGTTACGGGCCCTCAAAGTCTTGGCAAACAGGGCTTTTTTTCTTTTTTCTCTAGGTCGCAAAATATATAAAAGGAAATGAGCCACCCAGCCATAAAATATTGCCACAAACAATCATCCATCTTGACTCTGGAATAAAATTGTAATTCTGATCCCTAATCGCACCATTTGCCTGGAGAAAGTTGGACTCGTCATAAATAACGAAATTAATTTGGAACTTGAGGGAGGACGGTGGAAATCTAAAATCTTGCACGGATAAGATTTCTGCTTCTTCTTCCCTGAATTTCAAAGTAGGTAAGTTTTTAACACATTTGAGTATAGTAAAGCCTAATTGATTGCAGTAATTAATCACAGGTTGCCTAATTCTATAAATCAAAGAGAGAAATTACTGCGCTTCTCAAAGCAGCCGTGCTGCTGACTGGTTATCGGAACCGGATCAAAAATTCTTCAAATAAAAGCTCAACTTTGAGACGGTAAATTTCCGTGAAAGCCGACAGACATTTCCTGTTACGAAAAGGAGAAAGTGAGAGAGAGAGAGCTGGAGAAAATTCAATTTAGTTTGGTTTGCTGGCTCCCGTCTATAGCTATGCCTACCTACGTCTGCAATATCAATCCAGTGGTGCAGGAGTGAAAGTGGAAGAAAATTTGGGGCAAGTTGTAACAGCATGTACACACATTCGAATACATATTGTACATACATAGCTATTTATAAAAGGCATACACTCTTAGAAATCCAGTATTGAAATGATACCACGTGGTAGTCATATTGTATGACGCTACCAACATAGTATTGATAAATAATACTGTTGTAGTAATAGCTCGGTATTAAAGTTTTACCAAAGTGGTAGCGAATTTTTAGGGACCAGTATTTTTTAAATTTTAATACCGAGAAATTACTTTGTACCAAATTTCGTTACCAAATTGCGCTGTACCAAATTTCTAACAGTGTACCAATTTATGGACATATGCAAAATAGCCTTTCGTAGTTATAAGTATGTAAACATGTAGCATTTTACAAAAACTACTTACACTGCAAGAAACGTAAAATGCTTACCTGTTGGTAATCCGAGATTTTGGACTGGTACTCAAACACGTAAAAGTACGACTTGGAATTCGACTGTGAGTGTAAATCTCCCAGTTTGACCAGGGGAGCGACAATCTAAAAAAGAACGAGATACATAAAACCGTAAGTAAGGTGTGACAGCCCATTAGCTCGCTACAAACACATACGACACTTTTTTTCACTTGGGGTGAAATATTATGAAACGCAGATTAATATAAGACCCAATTTCCCTCCTATCTAAATTATGCATACACCTTTCTGCCTCACATATTTGCATGCAAATCCAAGTGGAACAGACATCTTAAGTGTGAGCCTTGTTGTTATGAATGTTTTAATGTCATGTCCCTCCCAAAATCGACCCTTATTAAAATCACGGCGATATTACTTAAGCACCAAAGTGAAAGCAGTTTTGCACATATTTTTATACGCACTGCGTACTTATTTATCGCCCAACTTTCTTTGCGTTTTTCTTTCACCAACAAATTGGCCAACACGACCCACCCCTCAAATTGAGCCCGCTTTTTACACTCTCCTACATTTCTTGCTGAACAAGCATAGCATAAAATTTCTAAAGACTAATGTCAATGCTGGGTCGTGGGTCTGTACGCGTCCTCCGCCGTACCACGCTGTGCCACGACCGGTTTGGTAAGTTCGGGTCATTCGGGAATATACATAAATGTCACTGGGGCCAAGATTTATTGCCACCTGAGGAAAGGATACATTCATAGATACACCCATTCATTTCATATTGTTTCGCTCCCTCGTACATATGCTTGTCATTCATCTCGCGACCAATGAGGCCTGCCCACAGCTGGGCCAAAGTGCTCACATGCAATTACAAAATTTCAGAACAGATTTCGACTCAGGAAGTCAGGAAACAGGGGCCGCGGAAGGGGTGTGGGGACATTAACATTGTAGGATGGGGGAGGGAGGGGTTTATATAAGATGGGGAGATGTTAGGGACATCGAACAACCGTGGGGACATTGTCCCCCGCTTCCGCGGGCACTGTCAGGAAATCATAAATTCTACATGTATTTACCACACACTGCAAAATACGAAATAAAATGTGGGTCGCTTATACAGCTAATTTCTTTAGTTTTCAGTAGCACAAAATGTAGACATACGGGCTAAAAACGACCCTACACGCATATGTATCGCTGCACTTCAAAACTAGGTGAAAGTGACGGGAAATCGTGATGTCAAGCCGGCCTGCTCACCCACAAATTATACTCCAGCCGCAGGACGATGATGATGATGACGGCGTATCGTATTATGCAGATTATCGTATATCTCGCATCATCATCATCATCATGAGCCCCATCCCACCAGTTGTGCATGGTGGTTTGGTTTGGTGGCATCATTCCGGCCCAAGTAAATATGTATGGTGAAAGCATAAACATACTTTTACCATATTTATGTATTCTAGTAGGGTTGAAAATATTCAAACACTTTGGGGGAATATAATGCAAATGAAGATGATGTGTGAGAGCAAGCGCCGTATGTTTGTGACAGGGGGAAGCATATTATTTTGCACAGATACGTAGGGACACAGAAGAACAGGACAACGAACGACCAGATTTATATTACTACAACTAATGCTTAATCAATGGGGAGATAATTGCTTGTGAACCCACTGCTTTCACCTTCACTTTCACCACACCATAAAACGTAATGTGCATAACGAATAGAGTTGTTTTGAGGAGAGCGGCTGGTTATGATTACCTCCTGCGGCGGCCCTACTGCCTTCCTCAAATGGCTCATGATCTCGTGAATTATTGTCCTTGGCACTAACCGAGAATTAGTTGGGCTAACTAGCGCACACAAAATCTGTGTCATACGCTATTTATTCTGCACGCAAACATATGTACCCCGTAATAATAAGCACTAATAATAGAGATCTCCCAGCGTATCCCCACAGATTTTGAGGAAACTAGTATCAATCGATCGCAAATTTAGTTAGTATGAAATTTGCAAAAGATACGATCTCCCAATGGCCACGTTTGGCTGAGATATTTGCATCCGAAGAGGAGAAAACGCGCCTTAAAGCTGACAAATCTTACACTTTCTCTTTTTCGGATGCAAATATCTCCGCCAAACTTGCCAATTGAGAGATCGTGTCTTTTGCAAATTTCATACCAATTAAACTTGTGATAGATTGACACTAATTTGCTCAAAATCTGTCGACATACGTTACGAGACCTCCATTGTAAGTAGTCCTACTCACCCCTATACTTCAATAAAATTAAAATAAAACTAACTTTCCCCATGATAATACATAAAATTTCTTACTTGCGCGTCCGCCAAGGCGTCCAACGTTTCATCCCTGACGCTAATCGGATGCTGTAAGCGGTACAAAAGAGACAACACAATATTTAGCGTAATGGATTCCCCTCATTTGTTTCAATCCAGGCAGCAGCACGTCTGGCGTATAATGTCAAATCGATTCTGTGTGTGTACTTACTTGAATGGGTCGCTCCCAGTCCGTGTACTCGTGGAGACACGCCGCCATTATTTCGTTGCGGTGAATACTGACGGAAAATAAAATTGATGAGGTCATTTTTAACCCATTAATTTTGCCAACCATCCAGAAAGGAGAATACATCAGTCAGTCAGAGACCATTGACTACGCCACTTCCAGTCCGACCTGAACGGAGCTGGAAAAACTCGACGGTCGGTGGAGAGGAAGGAAGAGGAGCTTGTTTCTCCCTCGAGAAGACGCTGTCGAATCTGCACTCGCTCGTGCTCCTTGATTTGATGGTGATTGAGAGTACGGCATTTCCTAACCAATTTATTTTCTTTTTCAGCCCTTCTCGCCCCCGCTCTGGTTCTGATTCATTCATTTTACAGCGGATGTGCCCTACTCGATTTTCTTCAACAGCCAGCAATCGCGATCAAGAGTGTGAAGTAAGTAACCAAATGTACACAATTTTTGGGAGATTGACATTTAAGTATAAAGGGGTACACTCTAAGAAACCTGGTGATAACTATCACCGCGCGGTGGTCATATGTGACTCTACCGGAATGGTGACAGCTGCAACCACCGAACGGTGACAACTGCACCACCGCATGGTGATTGATCATCACTAAGCTGGTGATGGGCATCCACCCTCCGGTGGTCTTCTGCCACCTGCCGGTAGAGTCACATATGACCACCGCGCTGGTGATAAAATTTCTTAGAGTGTAGATATTTAAGAGGTGGTTTTTATACACTCTTAGAAAACTGGGGTAAATCATTACCGACATATGTACATATGTAATTGACTCTACTGGCACTGGTAATAAGGGGCATTACAGTTTAGTAGTGTTGTGGCAATGGAAAATTTACCAAGCAGAAATTAAGCACTACCAATCCGGTAGGAAGTTATTACCAAATCAATACCAGTACGGAGTATATATCTGATTCTATCAGATTTTTAACAGAGTGAAAGTATGTGATACGTAGCATAGTAGAAGATACATTCATATTTTCTTTGGCCATTTTAACAGTATCTGTGTTGGGATTCGTACAGTTTTAAACTTTAGTTCAAGTTTTATCCAAAATAACCTTCAATAATCATTATGCTATGCTTATTTATTTATGTAATTTTGTGCACTGATTAAAACCTCCTGAAGCCAAAAGCAACACCCATGGCACCTTCAGCGATCGACAAAGCAGTGCACGACCGCAGCAGCATCAGCGACACCCTCGATTTCCTTGAAGTTGAAGTCACCAACCATGCAACCACACCCCTTGATGAAGCCGGAATCAATCATCTCCTTGCAATGGCAAAAACCAGTCAATTAGAAGTGATGGATATTCATAAAAAGATTCAAGCAACAGCTCCTGCCGATATGACTCCCCACGTTACGGAATACCAACGTCTTCTTCGCAAGGCGTGTCGTATCGTCACAACGATGACCGGTTTCAAGCTGAAGATTCCTGGCACCCCCACCGTCTCGACATCCACAACCAACAGCGAAATCCGACTTCCTATACTGGAGCTACCCACGTTCGACGGTAATCTCCACGAATGGGTGTCATTCCGTGACATGTTTGTAACTGCAGTCCACGACAACACCAAGTTAAGTAAATCCCAAAAATTCACTTACCTCAAAAGCCAATTAAAGGGTGAAGCAGCCCGACAACTCCAAAGTATGATAATCACTGACGCCAATTACGACATCGCATGGAGCCAGCTATCCGACCGCTACCAGAATGACCGTGAGCTCCTTTTTGCAATCATGCGAAAGTTTACAAATCAACCAATTGTTCAGTCCCAATCAGCAACAGCAATTCGTCAACTTGTGGACGTATCAAGAGAATGCATCCGATCCCTTCAAGTCCTCAAACTACCTACAGACCAATGGGATGCTATTCTACTCTTCCTAATGATGATGAAGATGGATTCCTCCTCCAAAGAATTGTGGGAACAGAGCCTGAACGATAGCGCTATCCCAACCCTCAAGTCCTTCTTCGATTTCCTAGAGCAGCGTGCCCGCGCCCTCGCCGCCAGCGGAACCAGCACGACCCCAAAGAATGCAAGCAAATCCAACAACAATTATCATGGCGACAAGAGCCGAACCCCTCGAAGTCTTGTCCATGTCACCGCGACGAAGTCGTCCAATTCCTGCAAATGTTGCGACGAGCCGTCTCATCCCATCTACCGCTGTGAGAAGTTTATCCAATTTCCCGTCCAGCAGCGTTGTGAAGTCACCCGTAAGCACAACTTTTGCTATAATTGTCTAACTGAGGGACATCAGGTCTCAAAGTGTACGAGCAACAAGGGTTGTCGTACGTGCGGTGGAAGACATCATACCATGCTACACCGACCCACGCCATCGGATCACTCAACCGGCACCAGGCCAAGAGATGACCCCAATGGTGGTGCTATTGTGCACCTCACGTCTACTTCAACATCCCAAGGCTACAACAATAAATCAAATGTTGAAACACCCCCTCAATCAAGTCGTTCTTTCTCTTTGGGCAAGGAGTACGACACTCTCCTCGCCACAGCACTGGTGCAAGTCCTTCAAGCACGCAAGCACGGTCACTACCATACAGTAAGAATTCTCGCTGATAACGCCTGCAACACCAACTTCGCGACAGAATCCTGCGCCCGTCGTATCGGCCTACCACGTCGACGATATCTCACGTCAGCAACTGGACTCGGTGGAGCAGCAGTAGCTACGTCATCAGGATTCACTTGGTTCACAATAACTCCCCATTTCGACACATCCGTTACCTTTACTGTCTCAAGGTGCCTCCTTACAAACAAGATCACTGGTAAACTTCCAACTTCCAAATTTGACCACACCAGGTGGCCTCATCTGCAGGGTATCAATCTCTCAGACCCTTCGTACCACGAACCTGAAGAAGTTGATATGCTCCTGGGCGCAGAATTTTTCTTCGCCATCCTAGAAGGTGGAAAGAGGTCCGGTCCTCCCAACAGTCCCGTGGCTCTTGAAACCAGTTTCGGTTGGCTGATTGGTGGTGGATCTAGCGATTCTCCTCTAATCCAGCCCACGGTGCATACCACTCTCACGCCAAAGGAAACTACAACACCAAACTCGACACACTTCTCATCGACCAGTGATCAAGAAGATGAACACCTTGACAGCCTCCTTCGCAAGTTTTGGGAAATGGAGAATGAACCACCCACACGACTACTTTCCCCTGAAGAATCGGCCGCAGAAACACACTTCACTTCCACATACACCCGTGATGATGAAGGAAGATTCATGGTGAGAATCCCCTTCAAGACCCCACGACCAAAGCTGGGTCATTCCCTCAAGATTGCTGAGAAGCGTCTCATGTACCTCGAGCGACGACTTCAAGCAAACCCTACCTATCGCCAAGAGTATCACTCCTTCATGAAGGAATACGAGCAGCTCGGACACATGACAGAAGTTACCAATTTGGACTCCGGATCGGGTAACAAATGCTATTTGCCCCATCACTTTGTGCTGAAACCCTCAAGCACAACAACAAAGTTCAGGGTCGTCTTTGATGCATCTGCCAAGACATCCAACAACATTTCTCTCAACGACACAATGTTAGTTGGCCCAACTATTCAAGATCCCCTCATTGACTTACTAATCAGATTCAGGCTACACCGAATAGCATTTACGGCAGACATCGCCAAGATGTACCGTCAGATTCTTGTCCACCCGGAAGATGCTGAGATGCAGCGAATCTTGTGGAGAGAAGACTCTTCAGGCCCTATACGCCACTACAAACTCAACACTGTTACCTATGGGACAGCATCGGCATCATTCCTTGCCACCAGAGCAGTCAAGGAGGTCTCAACCGTAGAAAAGAAGAACTACCCCCAAGCAGCAGAAGCCGCCGCGCGCGACCTATACATGGATGACCTGATGTCCGGTGAGCCAACTATCAAACAAGCCCTCAACACCCAAACTCAGATTATTGCCCTTGCCAAGTCTGCATGTCTCAGCCTACGCAAATGGAGTTCCAACTCGCAAGCTGTGTTGGACTCGCTGCCCCCAGAAATGAGAGAGACCCAATCTCTCGACCTCTTCGATTTGGATTCAAGCGTGAAAACCCTCGGGATAAGTTGGAATCCAAAATCTGATCATTTCTTCTTCAGATTTAACCCGCAACCAAATGGTAATAAGCCTCTCAACAAACGCACCGTCCTGTCCGAAATAGCTCGCCTCTTCGACCCGATCGGTTGGCTAGCCCCCATCATGATAAACGCCAAGATTTTGATGCAATCATTGTGGAAATTGCATCAAGGGTGGGACGATGAACTTCCCCAAGACGTTCAACAACAATGGATGGAGTTCAAAGTGGACCTACAACAACTTTGCAAACTAAAAATCAAGCGTTGTTTCTTCAAAGATTCAAGCATAACCTGCCCAAGTCTCAATATCCCCTATCCGCTCACAACCCTCAAGATTTGCCTTGCTGGATTCTGCGACGCGTCTGAGAAAGCATTCGCCGCTGTCGTATACTTATGCGCCTACCAAGGGTCATGCTCATCAATTTCTCTCATCACATCCAAAACCCGTGTAGCCCCAACCAAAGTCGTCTCTCTTCCTCGCCTCGAATTGTGTGGAGCAGTTCTATTAGCCGAACTCATTCCCAAAGTAAAAACAGCTCTCAAGATCCCAATTCACTCCGTCAGCGCCTGGACGGACTCCACAGTCACACTCGCTTGGATCAAGTCCAATCCCTCCCGATGGAAGACCTTCGTGGCCAACAGGGTCACAAGGATTCAAGACAAGGTTCCCCTCGAGTCATGGAGTCACGTTCGCGGAGACGACAACCCAGCCGACTGCCCATCTCGTGGAATCAAATGTGACGAACTTATTCATCATCCCCTCTGGTGGAATGGTCCATCATGGCTCAAATGTGGGATACCAAATCCAACCACGGTCCAAGTCCTCGAATCTGAAGACGTGTCCAAGGAAGAACGCCAAGTAACTTGTCACATCACGTTATCCGATACCGATCAAGCATTGTTATGTGGGACCTCATCACTCCGAAAATTGCAACGAGTCACCGCATTCGTACTTCGTTTCGTAAGGAATTGCAGAAATCCCAATCTCCACCCGCAAAAGACCAAGTCTCATCACCCGTTGACCCCAGGTGAACTACATCAAGCTTTGAATCACTGGGTCAAAGTCGTTCAGCACCAAGCTTTTTATGAAGATCTTCAACAACTGAAGAAAGGACAACCACTCCACAGCAAGAGCAAAATTCTCTCCCTTTCCCCATTTCTGGACGAAACTGGTGTTATCCGTGTTGGAGGTCGTCTCAAATCCTCATCACTTTCTCCAGACCAGAAAAATCCAATTCTCCTTCCGTATCATGGCCAGTTAACCCACCTCATCATCCAAGACGCCCATATCCGACACTTTCACGCCGGACCTCAACTAATGATGGCAGTGATCCAACGCCAGTTTTGGATCATCCGAGCCAGGGACGCTATTCGGTACTTTACACGAAAGTGCGTGAATTGTATTCGACAACGAGCCAGCACCATGCAGCAAGTGATGGCTGACCTACCAGCATTTCGCGTCAATCAATCCCGACCCTTTCTCAAATGTGGTGTGGACTACGCTGGACCCTTCATGCTCAAGCCCCTACTCAAAGGAAGCAAGATCACAATCAAAGCGTATTTAGCAGTATTTGTATGCTGTGTAACTCGTGCCCTCCACCTAGAAGTCGTGAGTGACTTAACTACTGAGGCATTTCTCGCCGCCCTGAAGAGATTCATTGCCCGCAGAGGTCGACCCACCGATGTCTACAGTGACTGCGGTACCAATTTCGTTGGAGCCATGAACGAGATGAAGGATGTCATGAGACTTCTCCTTTCAAAATCCCATAATGACAAGATTGCAAATTACATGTCAACTGATGGAATAACCTGGCATCTAAATAGTCCTGCCTCTCCCCATTTTGGAGGACTCTGGGAAGCAGGAGTGAAATCTATCAAGTACCACCTCCGCCGAGTGATTGGCTTGCAACGCCTCAACTTCGAAGAGATGACGACAGCAATATGCCAAATAGAAGCAATCCTTAACTCAAGACCCCTCACAGCAGAATCCACTGATCCCCAGGATTTAGCTGCCTTAACGCCAGGCCACTTCTTAATCGGTGCCCCCTTGACTGCAATCCCTGAACCGTCACTCGACCACATCAAGCAAAATCAATTATCCCATTGGCAACTGCTGCAGCAACTGATGCAGTCATTCTGGAAACGCTGGTCTGCAGAATATCTCACGCGCCTACAACAACGCCCAAAGTGGATGGCTGGAAACAAGAAGATATCAGTTGGTGAACTGGTACTTATCAAAGATGAGAACCTCCCCCCATTGAAGTGGAAGCTCGGACGCGTTCTCGCCCTTCATCCTGGACCCGATTCAATCGTTCGAGTCGTCACCCTCAAGACATCCAACGGTGAAATCAAACGCCCCATCGTGAAAATTTGCCCACTTTCCGTACCTTCATCCGACCCCAATCAAGACGACGATTTAGTGCTTACTTTGTAATTATTTTTGAAATAGTTATTTCAACCCGGCCGGAATGTTGGGATTCGTACAGTTTTAAACTTTAGTTCAAGTTTTATCCAAAATAACCTTCAATAATCATTATGCTATGCTTATTTATTTATGTAATTTTGTGCACTGACTTGAGTTCATTCCTTATCGTATTTTACATTTAAGTTACCCATGTAACTTCATTTGAGTAATTGTGTACGAGTTCATTTCCTTTAATCTCTATTGTGACTAATAAGTTGAACCCGAGTTCTAAGTATTCTTATTTTACCTTGACAGTAACTTTCCAGAAGGTCTAATTTTACATACTTAATTGCTCATTTACTTACCATAGGTTATAAATACAAGTTACATATTTTTCCTCGTTGTCATTCTGGTTACACAATTTGTCCAAGTCAGTCAGGTCACGTCAGTCTATTTTCCTAATCTCAATTTGCCTCAATTTGTATGAATTTAATAACTTGTATAAACTGACTACAATCAAGTACTTCACATTGCCATCTTATTTCTCACCGATCCATACACATATTTGCACACATTTCAATACCCATAATCAGGGAACACTCATTTTTATCACTCACACAAACCCCCTGCTCGTTGGGAGCCGTCATCCCCAACAATCTGACTGACTGACGTATTATCACACCCATTTTTAAAAATTTAATTCCGTCCATACCTGTAATACTTCTCTACAAACGTTCTCAGAATATCTCTCCTCTTCTCGTTCTCCAAGCCGTAGACGGCATCATGGTCACTTAGCACGGGCAGCATTTCTGCCTTGGTCACACCGAATAAGACGGGATAATGAGACAACCTGTCGCGAAGGACGTTTTCTCGAATCCCTTCCTCAATTATAACACCGTCATCACTTGGACCGAAGTAGCTCCAGAGCTGAAAAAATCGATTCAAAAATGTTAATCAGACATCCATGGATTACATTTTTAAAATCATTTTCTGCACAAATCTGGACCAATTTTCTGCAAAAAACCGCGATTTTCACAGAAAACCTTGCACCATTATGCAAATACGGTTCTGCAGATTAAACACGTACAAATTTTCTGCAGGAGCATGCAAAAAAATATTCAGAATGCAATATGCGAAATTTTGTCAATTTTGCAGAATTCACAGTGATTTCTACTCAGGATGCAAACGTACATATGTCTTTGGTCTAATTAGAGATACTCTGCTTTTTAATTATTTTATGAAAAGACAGAGATGGAAGATTTCCTAGGAATTTTAGCAATCCAAAATTCCACCAGTGACACTCTCTGAGTTGTGGGATACAGGAGCAGCAAGTATTTAGCAGGCAGGCAAAACAAAACAGAGGAGAAAGTGGTCGTAGTGTAGCGAAGTCTGGTTAGCAGACAGGCGAGACAGAGTGAAAGTCTTCTTAAGCCCAACTTTATCTCGTGCGAGTTCAGCTGAGTTGAGAGATCCACCAAATTCCAGCCTAGAATTCAACCAGAAGAGAGAGAGAGAGAGAGAAGCTTTGTCCATAATTATTTACGCTAAAGGTGACAGAAACGAGCCATTATTTTCCAGTGGAATTTTACAATGGGAAAATGTTTGAGAACTTTCTCAGTTTTTCACACAGCTTTCCAAACTCCAAAACTAAATACTTCTTCAAGAAGAAGAGGAAGAGACCAAGCAAGACGGAAACATATAGATACAAAATACGAACCTTGACTTGAACCTAACCATTTAAATCCTCGACCAGATACTTACTTAGCAGAGGGCGGATATTTATTTATACTCAATTTTTGCATTTTATGACGACCGACGGTCAATTTTTGTGAGTGTTACCCAACTCGGATAGAGCACAAAAATTTCAATATATTTCCACATATTGTCACATATGTATTTCTAGGTTTTCAGAAATATAAATTTATGAATATTTCCGCTATTCTTTAAAAAAATACATTAATATTTTGGATACTTTTTTCAAAAATATACATGTATGGGTTGTTTGGTTAGGTTAGGTATTTCAACGATACGGAATTTTTATGCTCAAAGAAAGTAATTCGACCACAAAAAATACAGAGCGCTACATATATTCATAAATATAAATTTTGTGAAAATTTTATGTTTTTACGTTTTTTTCGTACATACATATTTCATAATATTTTCAGAAATATTTCCGCGATTTGTTCTTAAATTCATATCCGCCCTCTGATCCTTACATGCAACATAACATCCAACGCATACATATACAATGTGAGAAACTAAGTATGTAAAGAGAAAGTTACACTTCTCTTCTAGCCAGCTGCATTGCGAGTGAAAGCCGTGTTTATATGGGTGGGTAAAAAGGTACAAGGAAATTCCTATCTGACTAAATACAAGACTTGGTAAGACAAAAGTAAACCTTTTCAGATTAATAGGAATCCTTCCTTTGTCTCTCTTATTTGCAAATCTGAATATTTTAAATGTCCTGGGAGAGAGGGTGGCAAAGTGACAGCGGAATAGCATCCACTACTTGCTTGTACATCTCCAAAGAAAGAATAGATGAGCATCGTAGATCACTTTGTGCAATAAATTCCAGTCAGAATAAATGTTTTTATAGGACCGATTTCTGAAAGAGAGGTGGATCCTCAAGATTTCAAAAGGTGAAACACTTCTCGAGTGGGTGGATTCCAATTGGGTCAAGCAGAAGGGCAAATAATGAAATGGTTTCTGTTACCACATTCTACCCGCCCTTTGTGCTATGCTATTTACGAGTGGGGAGAAAGTTGTGTAATACTGTTTTCCTTTGTTTTTATTTATAAAGTGCATTGCATCACTGCTATACACCACCCACCACCGCAGAAAATAACTGTTTAGATAATTCATAAAGTTTTGGTTTAATTATTACTGCAAATGCAACGTAGAGTGGTTCTTAACGTCTTGTATATTTCAAAGAACAAGGTACAAATACAACTCTTTAGCATGCCCTACTTTCACTGAAGGCAGTGTTTCGGGTGAAAGTAACCTCGTGCAAGAAATGGTGGGAAGAAAGTGGATTTTTTGGGGGTAGTTTTACCCGCAAGAAATGCAAGGCGCTAGAAACTTCATACGGCGCAAAACGCATATTTGTCGCAATTTCTTGCATCTCGAATTTCTTGTTTTGCAGTGCAAGAAATGAAACAGTGGTAAAACTGTAATTTGAAAACCCTGCAAGATTTGTGTTGTATACCACCTGCAAAAAATAAACCGCAAGAAAGTTGGCGCATATTTCTTGCACTTTCACCCCGCATTTTTTGCGTTTCTTGCTTTGCAGTGCAAGAAATGTATTTAGCAAACCGATAGGAACGAAACACTGCCTGCATCGTGAAACTTGTAGCATAATACAACTCGGCCATGATTGTTGTGCAATAATAATACGGGATTGCCATTGTACTTTCAAACTCCAGCCAAGCCCTGGCACCGTCTAGATCCTCACTTTATTTCACATTTCCTAAATCTGCATTACGTCGTTTCAGAGAGAACAAGTCAGAAAAGAGACAAAAAGCGTGTGATTAATCACGTTGATTGCTCTTCACAAAATTGAAACGGCTCTCTCTCCGCTGCCTCTTCACCGCTCCGTTGCCGGTTGCCTTTCATTAAGAGGATTTTCAAAATTGGAGCAATTGGGGGATTCCGTCCGCTCAGAATATCGGGATTTTCTTTACTAATCCACAAAACGATAATGTTCAAAGGAGGAGGAGTGATTAGTGTTGAAAGCTGCTGTTTATTTCGATGGGATGAGATCGCTCTATTTGTCTGTGTTTGTGCAATACAGTTGATGGGAAAGTATTAGCATTTACAAGGTTCGCTGCTACTAAATTTAACAAACAGTGGAAAACCAGGTGGAGAGGAGGACATGGACATTGCTAATTTATTGGGGATAAGATTCGGACCGAGATGTGTGTGAAAATTAAGGCATTCAAGACCGGTTTAAAATTTGAAACAAGGTTTTCGAATTTTTACTAAAATGTTTTAGAGCCACTAAATATTTACAATTTTTATTTTTCATGTTAGAATTAGTTGTTCTTAAATAGTTTTTTTTTAATTAATGGCTAAAGTTTGTTGTACATTAAATTTTACCAGACCATATTTACAAAAGTTTGAAAATGTTTTGTAAAACCGGTTTCAAAAACAAGTTTAGGAGAAATTCAAAAACCGGTTTTCTGAAAATTTCAAAAACCCGAAAAATCGAACCCCGTTTTTTTAAAAATCTTCCGATTTTGGATGCCCACGTGCGAATGCGTTTTCAGCCCTCCACTTTCACTTCCTGCATGTATTTCCTCTTGAAATTCACTCCACTCGAATAATTCCATTCGACCAGAGTTGCTTGCTCTCTCGTACTCTTGTTGTACATAAAGTGGAAAAGAAGGGACAACAAAGTGACTCGAGTTACAAGTGCAATTCAATTTGGTGTACTATTTTTATTGTAACGGAATACCATTAAGAAGTGTAAACTTAAATAAACTTCTTTGAAATGGAGATAAATATTGTGAAGGCATCGGATAAGAGATGCACTGCTTCGATTACCCACTCACTCACTACGGCCACTCACTGTTGACACTGCGAGGGGATCAGGCTGCAGGATTTCTCATCCATCTTTTATTCATGGGTGGGCTTTGATGTCGAATTTCCTCGAGTAAAAACAATTTGACACGATTTGTTGATCTTTTATAGAATTAATTTCTAAATTATTGTCTGGAAATTTAGGCCAGACAGAGGAGACGACGACGAGAGGGGGTTTAGTTCAAAATTAGTTTCATGATTGGGAAATGGTACAAGCTTCTCAAAAATATTTATAAGTGGCGTCTGTCGCTTGTTGTGATTGTTTTGTCCGTCCGTGCTTATGTCTGTCTCTCTATATGTATTGATGTCTGGATATATCAAGAATGCCTCAACGATCAAACGCATTTTTCGCCATTGTGCTTCTAATTTTTAGTTTTCGGTCGACTCCTAAAACGGGGTCCTTGTCTTGCGGTCAAGGTGACCTCTGAGTCCCCCAGGTTGGTGCCAACGAGGTCAAAGGTCATAAATCACGTAACTTTTATGTAGTTTTATTTTAGATTTGACTGTATGACGCTATTTTCTTATCTTCGTTTAACACGGTTTATTAGAAAATATCTCCGTAAAAAAAGTTAATTAGCCCTTCCTACGTAAACGATCAAGCTTATTATATCACATACTTAAGCCAATTAGCACAAGTACTTACAACGAGAAAAAAGAAACTATCTAAAAATAATGCAGTGTATCCAAGTAAGTAAAAAGACCATTAAGAATTTCTTTGCAAACGTATCTAACACCCACTTTACGGCAAAATTTAATGCATGCATAATTTTCGCGAATACTCCACACTCCTTTCACCCAAACGACGGCGTATATGCGGATTAGAAGCAGCATGTAGCGTCAGTTTTCTCTTTTATAAAGTACTCTGCACGTAGTTACGAAACAAGCTTTAAAGTCAAAATTCGAGTCATTTTTATTCCAGCCATTCTTCGCCCAGGATTTATTTGGGCATTAGTACATGAAATGGTTTTCCCGTGTTTTCTCATCCACATCCAACCATTCGCCAGTAGTAAAACAAGGAAATTCACAATAGCCTTCCCTCCCTGAGAAGAAAAAGAGTGCTTCAAATTCCACATTTATTTTATGGTGAATCTGGAATTTGTTTCTCTTATCGTCTCCTGCTTTCTCCCGTTCTATTCAACAAACTTTCACCCGTGGTCAGCAGAATTTACAAATAAATATGTTTACATCATGTAATGTAACGAAACGTTAAAATCTGGAATAACCACATCACACGCCGTTTGCCATATTTAACCACAAACTCCCAATCCATCCACCAATTAAATAGGACTAAAACGAGGCAAAATATCTATGAACCGCTATATTAATTTCAGATTGCTTTGTTCTTTTTCCTCCAGAATCAAACAAATGAACGAATAATGTACGTAGATAAACAAAGGGAGCGCACAGTTCAACGAAATTCGACACCTTGGGCCCTTTTACTGCCAAAGATCAAAGACTTTTGCTTCGTCCAGTCTGGTCCAGGCCAGTCATAATATGTGATCTCGTAATTAGAGAAACCGTTTGATTTCATTTCACGGCTACAACGCAAATAATATAATAATGACCGACATGAATCCGACGAAATTTAAGGTAGGACTTGATGACTCATCCATAAAATCAGCACATTTTTAATAATTTCTTGGGTCTGGGAACTTATTTAAAAATTCTGGACGACGAATTTGTGGAGCATGGAGTTGACTATTTAAAAAAATATACACTCCAGATTTTGACAGTTTTTGAAGGAGGAGGTCTCAAGTTTAAGAAATATAAAAAAATTGGAACTCATCGAAGCTGCCTTAAAAAACTTCACCGCCATTTTATTAACCTATTTTCTAACTACAAATTTGTCGTCCAGAATTTTAAAATAAATTCCCAGACCAGATAAATGACTAAAAATGTCTTGATTTTGACAATTTTAGTGATGACTCATCGAGTCCAACGTTACGCAAAAAACCAACGTTGACATGTCATTGCTTGTTCACACATGTAACCAACCGCAAAGTCAAAAGTGGGCTGCAATTGCGGTCGTTTGCAGTGATACGATAGGATCTGATTCTGTCCATTTTGGGGACGAGATTGGTTTTTACATAGCGCTTCTGACATCCTTTTGACGACGACGGGATTGTCGCATTGGGAAAGTATATAGAGTTGTGAATTGGCAATGGAATAAATGATGGGACACGACGAGTGAAAGCAAGCGAGGTGACGTTCTGAATTATTGAAGAGTAGGACAGACTACATCGAGGATGAGATTTTTCCTATCAACCAACCAACCCCTTGGTATCGGCATGATGGAACGATCTCTCTCTCTGTCTTCTTTGAATTGAGATCACTGCAGAACTACCATTCTCACTTTAACCAATTGCGAATCAAAGCAAATACCATTTTGCATGATGGGTAGGATCAATAAGAGAGATGTGGAGGGGAATGTGGAACTTGCAAGAAGTTAGCCGCGGAAGCGTGGGGACAATATTCATACGGTTATTCGATGTCCCTATGTCATGTAAACCCCTCCCTCTTTTATTCTGCAATGTTAACTAATGTCCCCTCAGCTTCCGCGGGCACTGCTTGCAAGTTTGTAATATTTTCCCATCTCGTCCCACCCGATCGGGTATTTATTTAGAGTGGAGTGTACTTTGTATTTATAAATTAATTGATAGGTTCATTAAGCAAATATAAAGATGGATCAAGGAAATGGCAAATCAACCTACTTCATGCAATATTCTATAATATGCAGTTAGCAAAGCTAGCGTTTTTTGTATTTTCGCAACTCTCCCGATCTCATGAGTTTAGTCAAAATTTTCGGGTAGGATATGCAAAATGTTCAGAGGACAGCACAGGATGAATAAGTTTCGTAAATTTTGCAAACTCGAGAGATAAAGAGAGTTACAGAAATTAGAAGAGCGCAACTTTGCTAACTGCCTGATTATAAACGTGGGCTGGGACTTACCTCAGACTCGAGAAAATATTGAAGCGGAATTTGCCTCAGACAATGAAGCATCGTTGAGGGCGGTTCTGTCGGACATCTGTGAAGAGAGAAACAGAGGTCAAAATTCATTCCTGCGCTGGTCACTAAAAAATATGGCCCATTCATTCAACTTACCGAACATCCGTTGCAAATCGTTTAGCTAACGCTTTGCCATTCGATAGTCCAGACGCTAACGGGGACACGGCCGACCCCGACATCAGGATCACGCGGTGGAACAGTAAGCCTGAAATTATATAATCCAGTGTAATTATTATAATTAATTCAAGACTAGACTCATGATTATTAAAGGGGATTAAATGCAGCAAAAGTTTGCGAATTCAATTAACAACGAAATAGTGTTTTTTTCGCACTCTACCGATTTTGACGTATGATTAAAATCTTAATTGTGTGCATAAGAATTCGTAATAATATTCGGGGGACCTGCCAGCAATCATCGCGATTCGCGATAAAATCCAAAATGTGCGAATTTTTCAGCATTACTTTCACCCCATATCAATAAATACCTAAACATATATTCACATAGCTCAGCTACCGACACTGCAACTTGTCACATTTCCCAAACATACGAGGAGGTTCACCCGCTCTTAATGAGATGAGATGATCCGCACATAAATAAATGATAAGACAGCAATATTGCAACTTGTCATGTCAGCAATTTAGTCCCAAGTCGTCGTCCTTATCCAACCACCACCACCACCCCGTCCGTACATACTTTCTCTCCCCGCAGGTTAACGAGGGGACCCAGTACGAGAAGAACATATGGAATAAAGTTTGTCCCAAAATGAGACCGAGTAAATCAGTTGAGAAGTCAAGTCAAGTGACATCCCCTCAGGTGAAGCACGAGCTGTTACTTTTCCTCCTCTCACACTAATGTCAAATCCTAATTCTTGGGAGACAGTGATTGATCAAATTTATCCAAGTTAGTCAACTGAACGCAATGTGCCACAGGCTGGCTGGTCGGGTAGACGTGGACCCAAAGTCCAAATCCTATTCCGCCTCACGTGAAAAATTTCTCAACCAAGCTTTCTCTTTTTTGCCAACTACATACTGAAGAATCGGCAAACGTAAGTAATATGTATACGACACGATCTCCTCGTCCAGTGGCCGCGGAAGCTGTGGGGATATCTGGGGACATTAACATTGTAGGACAGGGGAGGGAGGGGTTTATATAACATGGGGGCATCGAATAACCCTGGGGACATTACCCCTCTGTCCCCCACCCTTCCGCGGTCACTGTCCTCATCCAGCAGCAAAGTTTGATGATATGGATGATGGAGGAGGAGGTGGAGGTGGGTTGGTCGGTGGAAATTTATTTGATTCGTAATTTTCAATCCATTCATCCAGCACCGATATTGCTGCTACATACCAACCAAAACCAACCTTGTTTAGATTGCTTACTCGTCTCCATGTATGACGGGATATGGGATGGCTCGTCACTTTCTGGTTCTACTGGGGGAAATTGGAATCAAGCAACTTTCACTCCAGTCCACGTGCAGAGGAAGGAGATTCTCCTGACTCATCGACAGTTTTCATCCACATCCACCTTCACCATGCAAGTTTGACGAGGAGTGTTGGCATCTGTAAGTTTTCCATTATCCGCAACCCTGCCAGCCAGACTTTCCCTTCGCTCGACTATTCCCCGCTACTTCGGTAGGTAATGCCTCATTTCATGGAGAAATTGCTGATAGTTGATGTGCTCAAGTGCGGGTTGTTATCGTTTGAAAGGAAATTACACTCGTAACGACCGGCCTGATTATACCGCTGTATTTCATATATGTGCCTGGCTGGCTAGTGGCTACATAGCTCCGTCCGGACACAATTGCATTCATTCATTCACTCACTTTCAAGATAATGAGGTGTAACAGGCTATAGGGTTGGACTATGTATGAAGGAGGGTTCAAAATACGGATTTTTTACAATTTTATAGAAAATCGGGTACAGCCACAAAAATTTTGTGGTCCAGATTTTTCTGCTTTCTCAGTTCATTTCTACTTTATTTGCATTTCTCTCTCTCTCTCCCTTTCATCTGACGGAAATGGTGATGGGTGCATAGTAAAAATCATTTATGCCTTGAACGGCTGCCTGTGTGAGAAGTGTCCAGTCAGCAAAAGTAGGGCTGGAATATTAAAGATATTTTATTTGGAGTCAGCCATTGCTTGCTAATATTATCTGGAGAATTATTTGATGGGATACTTTCTCCCGGGAGAAAGTGTCGTCGTCGTCGTGATATTAATTCACTTTCTGTGGTTTGGTCTATTTCATTTACAACACTGCATACAATTGACCTCGTTTTTAAGAAGTAACAGTTTTCCATAATGCATGTAATAAATGAAGAGATGTATTATGTGTTGCTGTTTAAACGTGCATGCAGTAAGGTTCGTGTGAAAGTGCAATTAGATGAAAATCAATGAAGTCGCAGATTACGGAAAGTGTGGAGTTACTTATTTGCGATGGAGTTTTGCAAATCGTATTGTTTTTCGCGCAGCCAGTTACAAGAAGTGATTAGTTAATTTAAAACGTAACAAACAACCCACTTTCTCCATAAGTAAGAAATTAGTCACAATTTGTGCAAAGTTTAAACAAAACTAAACAATCAGGTTGCAATCCGCTTAAACTATTTAAGCAATATTTGCACAATTTGATTAAATCAGTTCGTTACTAACTGATGCAATTTTCCGTTCCAATTTTGCTCTCCTAATGCTCGTGAAGTATTAATTCTGCAGGAGTATTCAGATGATAATCCTACGTAGGTAGGCTTTCACATATTAAATACCATTGTTCATCCCTCTTTGCATTTGCCCTGCTTATGTTTGTGTACATAATTGATCCATCCATACATACGTAAATATCTGGGACGAAACCCGAGATTTTCGGCTCGTGTGTGCATTACTGAAATTCAACCCGGTCAATTGTGTTGTGTTGGAAAGCTTGAGTTTCTACTCCTCCTCTCAACTTGCTTATCCTTCTATTTAGCTTTAGGCGTTTATACAAGAATGAACCTAATTTAGTAATTTAGTCCGCATTCCGGGCATAATGTTGTTCCCGACAAAATCCAAGGTGAGTAATATGGCTAAAATGACACCCACGCGTATAGTGTCACACGTTCTCTCCTATAACCACGTTCCAATCTTAAATCTAAATTCTTGTGGGCGTCTGGGCGACAGTGTTTCGGGTGAAAGTAACCACGTGCAAGAAATAGTGGGAAGAAAGTGGTTTCTTCTTACGGGTATTTTGACCTGCAAGAAATGTGAGGTTCAAGAAACGACGCTCCGCCGCACATACTTCATACGGGGCATGGCTAGATGGCGCATATTTCTTGCACTTTCTCCCAGTTTCTTGCACCTCTCATTTTTTGCATTTCTTGCCTTGCATTGCAGGAAATGTAGCAAACCTGACGCATATTTCTTGCACTTTCTTGCAGTTTCTTGCACCTCGCATTTCCCGTTTTACAGTTCAAAACATGTAGCAAACCTACTAAAAACGAAACACTGCTCCGCGAAAATAAAGTAACTTGCTCTGGATATTAGATGTAAATAAAGTACAAAATTTTCCCCATCCTGGGCATGTTTATGTTCACGTCTTTTGAAAATATGCCTATTTACCTATTTACTCGCAATATACATATCACATCACACCCGGAGTAGAATAGCTTTCACTCCACAAATATGAATCCTGTCAACGTCCCCCAAAAACCAACCGAGACACGACGACGACCATGTCATTCTCAGAGAAAAGATGGGAAAAAGAAGAACGAAAAAAGCATCACATCTTCTCATTGTACTTCATTCATGCAGAGACGGCGACCAGACCGGGCTGGCTGGCTGGCTGACGGAGAGCAGCAACCTTATCAGAGTGTCACTAACCGATGAAGAAGACGACGCAAACTGAAACTGAATGAAGGGAAAATGGGATCTCTTAATACTGCGAGGCCGTCACAATCACACCCTCCCATCGCATCATGGAATCGGGGGCACTGTTTGAATTCTTAATAGAAATATGAGACACTTCGCAGCACAGGGTATACTTTTTTCAGACACTTTTTCTCCCCCCTATTTTTTACGGTGGCCTGTTCAAACTGACCTTTCGGATGTGTGTGGATGGCTTACACTCTTAGAAAATTGGTATTAAATCATTACTGACCGAATGACATATAAATGTGAATCTACCGGCACAGGTAATAAGGGCAAACCCGTTTAGTAATGCTGTAGTAATTAAAATTTACCACTGAGAAACAAACTACTACCAGTCCGATAGGAAGTTATTACCAGATCGATACCAGTACGGGGTGTACACATTCTAGAAAGTTGGTATTAAATCATTACTGTCCGGAGAATATATGTGACTCGAGTGCCACTGGTAATAACGGGCATTACAGTTAATAGTGTTGTGGTAATGAAAAATTTGTCATTTAGAAAGAAACTAGTACCAATCCGATAGGAAGTTATTACCAAATCAATTCCAGTACGGAGTATATATCTGACTCTACCAGATTTTTAACAGTGTGTATAGTTCGCCGCGTAATAAGCTCCATACGTAAAAGTTGTCCATCTTTTTTATGTACGTATGTATCTCCCACTAATTTGCGACTAGTGTGTACCAGAGTTTGATGAAAACCCGTGTGTGTACAAGAGAAAAACTGTATCTCATTCCTCCATCCAACAAGTAATTTCACTCCTTGTGTATTTTTCGTACAATGGAAGCATGAAATTTTTCATTTACAGTTTCTTCACCTTCATGAAAACAAGCAGAGTGGGTGAGACAAGATATTAAATTTTTCATTTTCTTTAGAATTTTAATATAAAACAGGCCCAGCAGGTTCTGGGGCTTTCACTCGACTTGCACAATTCTGCCGAGTCTGCCTCCGTGTTTTTTATGGTTTTTGGTGTAAGATTGGCATAAAATGATGACAGAGAAAGTCCAGTTGTTCTCCTGCTTCGGCTGATTTTTAATATTGTACGGACTCGATAATAAATAATGAAGAGTGAGGAATTTTTATTTTTTGCGTATCTATTTTAAAGACGGGCCCATTTTGAATTGAAAAATAGAGCTGGGTGCAAATTTATTTGGATGACACCCGTTCAATTCTCTGTCTGCATTATGTCTGGCAGTCAATAGGAACAATTGGGTAGCATGGTGTTGAGTCGTAATGAGATGTAAATCTGCAAATTCCTACCACCAGTCAGATATTGACTAGTGAGGCGGATAATGAGGAAAGTGTTGTGA